GATCCGACCTTCAGTCACAGGCCACGAGCTGGGCTGGGACAGCCCCTCAAGCCAGGCACAGAACCACCAGCACTGACAATCTAGAACCTCCACACTCCCCACCCAGTAAGAACACAAGCATATCAACACACAGACAAACTTTAACACCGCTTTCCAAATGCCACTGTCAAGATAAAAATGTCAAGGATCGAGCTGAACTGCCCAACCACCAAGGTGAGCAAAGAGGCAGTCTCAGCTCCAAATCTCCTGGCTTTACTCATTTCCATCTATGCAAAAAAAGATTAGTGTTAAAACAAAGAAGTGCCCACGTCACAGCACAAAGCAGAGATCACCCCAGCTAATTACAAAACAGGTATTATTAAAAAGCACTAGGTCTTGCATTACCAATTATTTCTCACTAGGCTAGACAGTCCTCACCTAGAACTGTGTGGAGTCAGCACTAACTCAGGCCAAGGCTGGCCCAGACCACGCCAGTCTTCCTGATCCATAATGGATGCTCCCTAAAAAACTGTTAAAAGCTCATTTACAAAAGTAGGCACAGATGTTTTATAGTTGCTACTGAAACACCCCACCCACCACTTTGTGTTACAGAATTACAGAGTATGAGGTAAAGAGTTGGCAGTGCTATATTAAACCCCTGACTACACCATGTGATTTTATACTAGAAAGAGAACACAGAAAAGAGGGTACTGCTAAACTTACAGTTCTCATCATGAGCTCAGTGTTGGGTTTACATGACAAACTGCACTGTGTGGAGGTGTTGTTAAATACTGTGTTTGTCTCTCAAGCTGGCACACATCAAATCATCCATCAATGCAGCAGGTACTCCTGAAAATTTGATGACAGAAGCCAAACTAAGACAGGTGTCAAAACTCACTGCCTGAAAATCAGAGGGGCCTTTTAGAGAAATCCCCTAGGTCCATGCACAAAAGGATTTTTTCCCCCTAGAAATAAAGAAGTATACACATAGAAAAGACTCCAAAATATAAGTTAATATAAGTTAAAACATAGTTAATACAAAGACAGCCATCTAAAGGCAGCAGAGGACCTGTTTTCTAAAATGCTGTTCTGTGGAAGGCAGCTGTCGGTCACTAAAGAAAGCTGCTGGTTTCCTCAGTGGTACCACATCTGTTCTTTTAACTGCTTTACTTCTACATTTCTCTGCAGATCACAGTAACCAGGATGGGTGAATTCCCAGAGGGAATGAGGCCATGGGAATGGGGGGCAACACACGGACAGGATGGGACACACTCCAAATGCACCACTTTTCACACCAAATGCCACTTCAGCTGTCCTAGGGGAATTATATTTTTGTCTCCAGTGCCATGTACAAATGAGCTCTTCCTACTCCATTTCCTTATGGTTTATTTGCCATTACTTTCTCTACTCTGCCTGCTTGGCTGCAGCTCAGCTTTACCTGCCTCAGAAGGCCTGGGAATGGTCACCTTCAGGAGCTTCATTCTTGTAACATGCCTAGTTCTACATTTTACACAGCAGCAATTAAAAAAATGAAATATATTATCAAGTTAATAAGTCAAATAATCTAGGCTGCCATATTAAATAAGATCCATTCTCTGCATGAAACTGAAAGCATCTCTGAGCTGTAAAACTGAGTGGCCAGTAATTTCAATTCCATAACCATTAGTTATTTTTCAACCTTAAGAACTATTTCATTCCTTCAAAGTGACAAGTGCCTATTGAATATGTCACTTGCAGAAAACCACTCATCCTTTTTAACTCCACCAAGTCACCTTGCAATGCATCTAAGGGCTGCTCAGAGCCTGCCAGCACTGCAATCTGCACAAGTGCTACTGACACACTCTGTTAGCTTAACACTTGTTTTGAGGACAACAAACACAAAACAGTGTTGGAAAAATGACTCCCATTTAGTTTTTCTACTTAAACTCCAGATTTACGTCTCTGCCCCAAGCACAGGCTGCAAGAGTTTCCTCTCTTTGTCCTCAGGAGAGACAATCCCCCTGCAACACTGACACTGACCCCGGGTGTCAGAGGAGGGACAGCAAAAAGCTGCTTTTTTCTTTAAAAAAAAAGTACTTGTTCAAGGTCTCCATCTGATCATCATCCTGCCTGTGACCCATTTCCTGAACAGCCAAATGAACAATAAGCCTATAAAACTAACAAAAAAAGATGTTCTCTCCAGCTGTGTTTACCTGCAAAGTTCTTCAGGATGTCACTTAAAATAAAGTTTTCTATTTGTTTCTGGTGAAAGGACTAAGCAACCGACCAGGTCTGTCCCTAGAAGTGTGAACAACCTCATCTACCTAAGCTCTGCTTTAGTAATTCACTGATTTACCACAACATGACTTTGTGGCTTTATTATACTACAACTTTCCTTGAAAAAAACCCCAAGCCCCCTCAGCTGTAGCAAGACAAGTATTTTGCAGAGAAAGCTGACAATTAAAAAAGACCCCCACGTCCTTTTTTTCTCACAGGTCAGTTCCTCTGCAAACTTGGGAAGTGCTTGACTTTTGCAAGGAGAGTTTCCTGACCTGGGGTTCCTGGTGTGATCCATCACTATCCCAGCCTGACAGAACTCTGAGCCCACAGAGCCAAAACATGGATTTTCACCTGCAGCCCCACACTCAGGCCCATTTCATCAATTCAAACAAGAAAGGCAATAATGGGCCCAAGGTGGGCAAATTGGTTCCCTAAAACTGACTTAGTGTGCAAAACTGCCATATCATACAAAAAAAAAAAAAAAAAAGCAGCTTGAGAGCTCAGTGTGAGATCTCTCATGCTGTTTCTTTTCCAGGTGCAGATTTTAAGTTACTTAAAATATAAGTTGCATCATTAGCTCTGTTGAGGGTTAATCCATAAGGTGACTAAGGATACAAAACCATGGATGAGTGTCAAGAGAAAAACAGAACAGAAATTCCATGCTATGCCTCCCAGGTAAAACTACAGTAGATTCAGACACCAAACTGAGGTAATTCTTGAGAAAAAATACAGTTGAAAGGGAATGTTTAACTAATTTGAGAAAACAAGCATGATATTAACTCATCTGGAAAATTCAGTGAGAGAATAAAGCTCACAGCAAACTAAGAACTAAAGTCAAGTCAACCTAGAAGTCAGGTGAGCCTACAGCTGCCTCCTCTTTCCCAGTGTCTTGTGTGAAGTGAAAACCACTACCAAGAGCTCAGAAAACATCTGAAAGCTTTGAAAGCAGCCTTAGTCTTCAGCCAAACAAATGGGCTCAGAGAAACCAGCCTTATGTGAAAAATAAACTTGTTTGCATCACGCTGTGGTGAAACATTTTCCTTTTCAAATGTAATAATCTTAAGATTTTTTTCCCCCATCTGAATATTAGTCACCTAACATTCTTCTCCTTCAAGGCTAAAAATTAATAAATATTTAAAAGACGGAGTTGGTCCTGGCAAAATAAGACTTGTTACAAGGAAGCTAATTCCTGTTTAAGTTTGCTGAAATTTAAGTTAGGTTTTCCCATCTGCAACTTCTCAGTTGCTTCTTACGTCGACTCTGTGCCTGAAACAGCCACAGCTTTTCCACTCTGGAGCCTGCACAAGGAAAGCCAGGAGGCTGCTACATCAGGAAACTACACAAAAATACTGATATGAACATCTGCAAGCTTCAGAGGGGAAGAAAATATTCCAGATTTTATCCAAATTAACATGAAAGGACAACGGAACAGGACTTTTCTTTGACCACATTTCCCATGGGATTACCAGCTGAAGTAAAACTTTGCTTGTTTTGACATGCCATTACAGGCTCAAAGGGGATCAGAACTCCAGGGAATCTGCTGACTTTTTATGGGTACAAACAGCCCTTCAGGTTTTATCCTTGGATAAAAACTATGACAAAAATTGCACAGTAAGCTATGGTTGAGTTACCTAAAGGATAGCACTACAATATCTTCGGTTTGTCCATGCACCCCACTGCAGTAGAAAAGATTCAATGTCTGTACACAGAAAAGGCACCTGGCAGAGATTGAGAGCACAAGGAAATTTGGAGTTCACACCCCAGTTATTCAAGCCTCTTGCCATTTTACACCCAAACCACTGCCCAAAAGGGGCAAATCCAAACCCAGCTGTGCTCTGAGTTCCATGTGCATCACTACAGGCTGAAGATCCCATTAAGACACAGATTAAAGGCTAATTTTACAGCAAGGTCTTGCTGTCCAAATCCATCAGTGCAGCTGGAAAGCTGGGATCTCCAGGGTGTTCAGGCTTCCTACAAGGTCAGCTGTTGGGAACTAATCAAGCAGCTGCTGTGCTACCAAAACCTTTGCTTAAAGAGTTTAATCAGCTTCCAAACTTTTGAGTTCAGATGAAGCCCTGTCACGTGAGATACTGAACCTTCACAAATGCTGCCCCACCGTGGGTGTGAGGACAGTGCTAGCTGGCCATGGAGCACATCTCCCTTGAGCAGCCACTGTGCAGATTCATGGCTGGGTGCTCCAGCACAGGCTGCTGCACCAAGGAAATCACTTTTCCCATGATGTAACACCCTCCAAGCATAGTGCAAAATAAACCCTTCTCCAAATCAGCGAGGCCTCAAGTCCCCATCCCATTTACTCCAACATGAGTTTCCTTACACAGTTTTAGGCTTCTCCTTCAGGAGACTCATGCAAAACCTTCAGACAATTCTAGATTCTAGACCCCTGGCAAAGCTGAACACACACACAAGACCTGGTTATACTCCTAAGGGTTAAGAATGGAACTTCCATTAACATTCTCCAATACGAGCTGTGCGTCCACCTTGGGAGGTGGATTCTAGACCCCTGGCAAAGCTGAACACACACACAAGACCTGGTTATACTCCTAAGGGTTAAGAATGGAACTTCCATTAACATTCTCCAATACAGCTGCCAATCTCATCATGTTTAGATTAGTTTGATCGATTCAGCACCTCCAAACTACAAAAAAAAAAAAGGCAGTTTGTACAATTAGTGTCTCTGAAAAATGAGCGTGTTCATTTGAAACGTGTCTTCCATCCATGGTTTGTCAGAGATTTCTGTTCTGAAGAAGGCAGACGGTGGTTGTGTCATTCGGCGTTCCAAACTCGGTACAGAACCTCCCATGGCCAGGTTTCAGTAGTGTTTTAGTCCAAATGATTCAGTAGCTAACATCAACACGACTCCTCCGGCCTAGAGCTCCTCTGTTTGGACTGGCTAGTGTACAGCATTCCTGAGCCAAGGAATTCGCACGGGTCCCACGCCGCATGCAAGGGCCATAAAGAAAGGATAAAAACGTCGATGGAACCCTCCAGCGAAATTTCAACGGAGCAGGGGCTGCTCTCCTTCACTGCAGCATGATGTCCTTGAGGTTCTCCTGCAGGATGGTGTCCTTGACGGCATGGAACACGAAGCGGATGTTCTCCGTGTCGATGGCCGTGGTGAAGTGGTGGAAGAGGGGCTTGCTGCGGTTCCGCCTCTTCCTGTCGAAGCACTGCACCAGGTAACGCTGCACGTCCTCCAGACGGTGAGGGTCGCCCTTGAAGTCCGAGAAATACTTCTTAATGCTGACATTCTTGACCTTCTCCACGAGAAGGTCCATCTTGTTGAGGAATAGGATAATGGAAACGTTAAAGAAAAGCTTGTTATTGACTATTGTCTCAAAGATATTCATGGACTCCACGAGTCTGTTTGTGCGCCTGTCTTCCATGAGGACCTGGTCGTATTCACTGGAGGAGACCATGAACAAAATTGAAGTTATTCCATCAAAGCACTGGAACCATTTTTGACGCTGAGATCTCTGTCCCCCTACATCCACCATCTTGAAAGGAATTTTTTTAATGATGAAATCATGTTCTACTATCCCCTTCGTGGCTTTTCTGGCCAGCAAAATATCTTGTTTGCTGGGGAAATAGTTCTGCAAAAGAAAGGAGAGAAGTGTCAAAAAAAGTCCTGCAAAAATTCTGGCTAATGCCTGAATACTGAAGGAATGGGTAAAATCACCAAGAGCTGCTTTTAAATTTAAATATTATCACATGAAGAATGAATACTCAACTTTACAACACTGGCCTGTTGACCATTTAGCTCAACACTTTGGTAAACAGCTACAGAAGATCTTGAGACATATGAGAACAAAAATAAAGGACTAATAATACACGTCTTCACACTTTCATCCATCAAGCCTCTTTGTTTAAGGCTGAAGTGTATTTTTTCTCCATTAAATTCTTAGCTACAGCGTTACTGCCACTTAGGTAGCATTCAATAAAGCAGGTCAAATCACCACTAAAAGGTGCTTTTTTTTTTTTTTTTTAAATCTAGCTTTTCCACAGTTCATTACTCTTACAAGAACCATCTTGAAAGCTTCAGTGGAAACTCTTTTTCCAGGTTCACACCCTATGACCAGCCAGTACAGTAACAGATTCTACCACAGGCTGTGGCCCAGTCTACTGCTGTAGAGAAATCTGTCCTTCAGAACCTTATCATTATTACTGTTTAGGAAAATCATCTCAATTCTTTCTCCTCCAAGTGTCCTGACAGATGTTTTCATTACAGATTTTGAATCCTACAAGAGCTAGGAATGGTTTTTATTTTGCTAAGGTTTCATTCTGCTACCTTAAGTAGCAGCAGCCATCAGAACATCAGGAAAAGCGATCCAGACACTGCATAGAAGGGCTGATAAAATATGTGCACAAATACAACTTCCATTTGTTATCTGTCAAAAAAGATTAAACAAATGCTAAGCTTCAGTTTCAAAAAGCAGGAGTTTACTGTTTGTACAGAAAGAACACTGAATTTAATGCATTATTATTTCATAAACAAACCAAAAACCCCAAGCAAAGCTCATTAATCACAGCGCACTCAGGCTCTCCTTGTCTCCTGGAGCTCTGTGGTTCAGAAGGAGAAGGTTTCTTACCAGCTGACCGATCCGATCCAGGTTATCCAGGAAGTATTTCACTGATTCACCCTGTGGAAAAGGAAAGACATGGGAACTGAGCTTGTTTCTAGCACAGCAAATCCAACAGAACCAAGGCCTCCTTCCCAACGTGCACTGAGGTCTAACAGAGCATTATCACCAGGTCTGGAAAAGTAAAAGCTGTGAAGAGATTTGCACAAATGCTCAGATCTATCCAGGAAATCTCTACAATAAAAGAGTAGTGTCATTAAAGTCAGTTCTTTGACTTAAAAGAATTTGGCTTTTTTTCCCCTTGTAAGATAAACACAGTTAACTGACACTGAGTGGGAGTAAAAAATGAAACACATTTATAAGAAACCAGTGTATTTTTAAAAAAATTCATAACAGTGAACAAAAGCATATCCTAGAAAAGTGGAAGATTCAAGTTCCCCACAATTTATGATGATTTAAGCTAGACTTGCTTGTCACAAACAAAGGGAAAAAGGAGCATTTTCAAGGACTTGCTCTTCTACAGACAGCTCCCCTTCTGGGCTCAAGACTTTTAATAACAGATTTGCTCATCTTTTAAAAAGTCTTTTAGCAATTATATCGAGAAGAAAACAGGAATGTTTACAAGGAAAATTCATTCTTGTGTGAAAATTTACTCTTGTGGAAGAGGATTTGGTCTTTTATCAAACAAGCTTGCCTGTGTGTCCCACCCAAATCAAGGGCCCCTCTGCATTAAGGGGGGACAAGAAGCCCTGCACAGACTTTTAAAGAAGTAACAATATTGTTTCCATACAGATGCAGACTACTCTGGAGTGAAACTCTCCAGCAAAAGCTTCCCTTCATGAAGAAGTAATTCAGTATGTGTTTCTTTATTCTTGGAGTTGCAGCCATGTCATGAGAACAATAAAATGGAAAATCCCGCTGCCTTTTAGTGATTTTAGCCAAGAAAACCCATTTCTTATCACAGAGCAGGGCTGTCAGTCATGACCAAATGACAGTAGATGCCCTCACCAAGCCACTAATTCAGAATGGAACTTCCTCCAAGTACTCCAGCTGCAATACAAACTCTTAAACCACACATCCTCCTCTACAGCACAGGCCTGAGACAGCAGAACAGAATTACTGCCCCCAGTACAACTCTAAACAGATGAACACAACAGTTCATTGTGAGGAATCAGACTGGAGGTCAGAGGATTCAGTGCTGGACAAGTACAGGCTCCCAGCATAAAGCACACACAAAAGGAGCTGGAGTTTATTATTTCCTAACATTTAAAACTGGAAGTGTCTTTTAATAAAGGAGAGAGAACACACGGATTTGCAAAAGACTACCATGTATCAACAAAAGATTTACAATGGATTGCTGGCAGAAAAAAAAACACTTCTTTTTTTTGGGGGGTGGGGTGGGGGAGAGGGGAAGTTTCCAAAGAACAATTGCTCTAAGAGCTTCCTTACAATCATGAATTTTCATAAGGTGAAAGTAATTTCCTGTATTTTTTGGCACTCTGTGGATCAGAAGAGATATCACAGACTGCATGAATAAGAGAAAAGGGCTTCCTGTACAGCATTAGTCATATTCAGGAGATGGGAGAGCCCAGAAAGAAAAGATCACTGAAGCTACCAAAAAACCCCTTCTCTGTCTGTTGTGCTCCATCCCACACAGCTCTTCAGATGTGCAAAAAATACTGCAAAGGGGCCATTTCTGATGGAGATTCTTCCAATTTTCTACCCAGTTGCTTCAATAGTCCCTGTCTGTCTGTTCCCCTCCCTGGCTGGAGCAGGGAACAGCCATGTGCCTGTGAAATGCAGGGACACACAGGCAGGATCACCTGATTTACAGCTTCTGCATCCCCTAATTCCCACCCCACACACCCATCACTGACATTCTGCACATTGATAGGGAGGTAAGAAAATCAACTGATTAATGGAAAAAAATTCACGTTCATTTCTGCGGTGATTTAAGGAAAACAGACTTCTCTAGATTCTCTTATTAACGTCGCAATTAAGCCACGTAATTTGTTCAGGGAAATTATAATCAGCAATGGCAAAGCACTGGGAGAGCTGGGTAACCAAGTCAGGTGGCTGGAACAGGTGTGAGCACCACATGCATGGTCTGACAGATCTGAAGGAATCTCAATATTCTCTTCTAGCACAGAATCCAAAGGCAGCCAGTACTTAAGTCAAAATATCTGTTTCCAGCCAAAACAACAAATCCTCGACAAACTCCAGAGAGTTTGAAGTTAAAAAACCCTCAGAACATTAAAGCACACAAACATGAAGGGAGGAAAAACACCCACCAAAAACGTGCCAGAGTAATAAGCCCAAACCCAGCGCACACACTCAAAACCTCCTGCTTTAATGATTCCCTGATTAATGATTCTTCATTAAGTCCTGGGGAAGTGTGAACTCAGTTCCTGCTCCAAAGGCTTCTGGAATAACCTTGTTCTACATCTTAGTCAGATTTACAGCAAACTGGGATGTTCTGGGAAGCACATTCAGTTCCTCCAGGCAGCAGCACACACATGCACTGGGCATTAACTGACTTGGTGAGTAACACGTAACGTATTAAATGAGGAAAATATGGAAACTCCAGGTTTCACAACTGTTTGCTGTTAGTGTTTTTAATTAGAGCAATTATGCTGACTGAACATTCCTTTCTATATTCATTTTTCCTAGTCATTCAGACAGCAATATTAATTATATCTTGAAGTCAAATTCACTGAGTTTTATATCAAGCTGCACTTCAATGGATTTTTGAATTCCACTAATGAATTACTATTTATGCAAAGCTGTCTCATGCTTTGGGTATTATACACTCATACAAACAAATGCTTATGTATACAAATGTATGTATATAAAAATACACACACAGTTTCCAAATCAAAGTATATTTTTCATTCAAAGCAAGTAATTATCAAAACAAATATCAGCTGCCCCCCCTTTTGTGTTGAATTATTTTTTCTCTTCATTACACTGGGCATAAATAAGCTGGTTTGGCTTTTTCAGTGCAAATATTTAGTGTTTCTCCAGTATTCATCTGGCCATTCAGCTCCATTCAAAGCTGGCTTAGCAGTTCAAGTGCTCTCCTCCTCCAGATCTTAGCCAGTTATTTCAGGTCCATGACCATGACTTCCTATAAAAGTGTCAGCAAATATTTGCAATTGATTCATCAGATACTAAAAATATCTTTATGCAGATTGATGACTTCAATTTCAGTATTTTAATGGTTCTATTGGGGAAAAAAGCTTATTTTAACATCACAATCTATTTCAAGCTATGCTTGCAAAGTAGAAATGAAAGCTGAAGTTATTTATAATATATGTATATTTATACTCCCTATGTGTATTTATACTACGTGTAACTACCTAAATATAATCACATCGTGGTGTGTTCACTTAGAAAATAAACAAAAAAGATCCAGATCAGATCTTTTACAGGCTGATGTTGCAAGAAAAACTGTGGCAGCTCCAGAAACTTCCTCCGATCAATGGTGTTCATAGAAGGTTGTTGAGCTTCTGCCTTTCAGATTTAAAGACTCATGTCTTGCATTACCCTAATAGTACACAATTTCCTTTAAAGTATCCTAACAAGATTCATAAATAATGCTCTCAAGATATGAAAGACTTTAATTTCAACCAGCACAATAGTGCGATAGGAAGTCCCGTTCTGTCACAGTCCCAGCAGAGTCTGCCAGTGAAACATTTATGCACTGACATTTATTTATTTAATTTTTAACTGGTGCTCGATTAGCACATTTCACATTGGAAAGTTACAAACCAGTTCACTATTTTTATGGATTTTCATCCTCCTTGCTAATAAATCAAGATGTTTCAGTGGCGTCTCCTGCACCCACACCCCGTGTTTTACGGGACAGCTGTGGGGGAGGGAACAGTGACCTCTGAGTTATGAATTTTATGTAGCTCAGATGATCCTTTTTTAGTACCCCAGAGTACAGCAGTGACCATTGGTGTTCCACTCCTTGCTCCCCACACAAGAGTGACCACAAAGCTGGGGTGACTCATTCTGTCACTGCTGAGCTCCCCTCCCTTGCAGTCCAGACCCTCTGAGTAACAGTTCTGTGACTGGGACCGAGAGAAGGACTTTGAGATGCTGTTCCCATTGTTCAGGAGGATGAGTCACTGCACATCTGGGAACTGGGGGAATCAAGAAACACAAACAGAAGGCCTCAAATGAGCCCACAATGCAGTATCGCTATTGGATTATTTAAAAAAACAATTGTTATTCTTTTAAACTGGCCTATCTGCAGTATAAAGTTTGGTGAAGCCAGAGAAAATAGTGCAATTTGTTTAAAAAGTGACTGGTGGAAGAGAAAGGGAGGAAAGTTGAAATGTAAACATATACTCCTGCTTCCTGAAATAGTCCTCTAAAACTCTTTTTATATGCTAGATTATTTTGACCACAGCATTCTCAAGGGGCAAAAGCCATGAAATAAAAAAATTCTAATCTACATACTTTGTGCAATGTGAATGCCATGTTAACATGATCTCCAAGTAAGTCACCATGAAAATAATGATTGAACTCAACATCCCTGCCCCTTCAGGCTATGTTCAGAGCACATAGGAAATCTCCACACAGAAATATTATAACTAATCTGGCATCACTTCCTTTGCCATTGATAGCCTCATTTTGGGCAGAGTTCCCAAAGAGTATTTACTGCATGAAAATAATGCACAACAATCATATGCAGATTACTTTAAAATACCCCCAGAAACATAGCAGACATGTTCTGGAAAGCCAGAATTTATCAACCTGTCACTGTAACCCCCAGTTATTCAGAGTGAGCCTTGGTCAGATCATAAAGGACAGTGACACATCCCATTGTCCAGCTCCCTAAAATACTGGCTCATTTCAAACTTTTCCTGCTGAAAAGCAGTTCCTCTAAATTCTGCTCCGAACTAGAAGACTTGAAAGGGGACTCTCTGTTCCAAATTGGCTTTTTTCCTTTCCTTGTCCCAAGGCCTTTTTGACATAATATTAATTTAGCCCTTCCTGATCATTCTGTCTCTGGCTGCTAAATTTAGAGTGCACAATTTAAGGTAGACCTG